AAACAAGTGAGGAATATAAAAACTGATAAAAAGAGCTTCTTTAAATAGATTAAAAAAAAGGAGGTCAAAGCGAGTAAAGGCCCGTTAGAAAATGAATCTGGGAAGATACTTACAGGGAACCAAAAAAAATTAGAGTGAGTGAAACACATTAGTCTTTACGGTGAAAAACACTTCAGGTATTCCATTAATCAGAACACAGAGTTAGCACACAGTGCAGCAGGTAGTTAGGAAAGCTAGTGAAATGTCAGCTCTTATTTTAAGGGGGTCGGAATAGAAGAATAAGGAAGTCTTACTGCAACTGTACAAAGTGCTTGTGAGACCACATCTGGAGTACAGTGAGCAGTTTTGGTCCATTTATTTAAGAAAAGATATGGAGGCAGTTCAACAAAGGCTCACTAGGATGATCCGTGGTATGGAGGAATCATCTTCCGAGCAAAGGTTAAACAGGTTGGGAGTCTACTCACTGGAGTTTAGAAGAATGAGAGGTGATCTCATTGAAACATATAGGATTCTTAAAGGGCTTGTTGAATGCTGAGAGGATGTTTACCTCATAGGAGAATCTAGGACCAGAGGGCATAGTCTCAGAATAAATGGGCACCAATTTATGACTGAGATGAGGAGGAATTTCTTCTCTCAGCTGATTGAGTCTCTTCGGAACTCCTTGCTACAGAGAGCCATGGGGCACAGTTCTTGTGTGTATTTAAGGCTCCAGACAGAAGATTTCTGATCAGAAGGGGAATCAAGGATTATGGTGAAAACATAGGAAAGAGGATGTGAGGAACGTTGGATCAGCCATGATCCTATTGAATAGTAGAGTGGCTTGAGGTGCCCAACAGCTAGTCCTACTCTTATTTCTTATGGTCTATGCATTTTTTTATGTCCTGTTTGAGTTCTTTCATTAAAGTATCATTCTAGAAAAAAAAACTGTCATCGAAGCAACATCATGGATATCGGGGAGTCAGGAGATGAGTAACTTTTCACAGAATGACAACTATTTGGGAGATGACTAGTTCATACCAAAAAAGGCCAATACAGTTTGATGCAATTGAGGATGTATTACTTTTCAATTTCGATCATGCTCCAAGGAAAATTTACCACAGCTTTTGCAAGTCAGATGTTTTGCTGTTTCTTCTATGCCCTGCTTGAGTTCTTTCACTAAAGCATCATTGCGGGCATTTCATTCTGACAAAAAAATTAACTACTGCCTGATTGATTAACAGCTCCTAGTTGAGTGAGTTGTGCATCTCCACTTGTTTTTGCAGGTCTACCATTTGTTCTAGCTTTCAGCTTATACCTGGCTGTGTCTATCATGCTTGATTAATTTTACATGAGAGTTGCTCCAGAATTTTCTCTAGACCAAACTTTTCATTAGATTGATTATACAAAGCTTGTAGATCATCCTTCATCCCCTGACTCATTTAGATCATTAATTTTTGAAAACTGAACAGAGACTTCCCTCAAGAGTCAATATCAGATGATATTTTCAAATGTGGATTTAATCTGAACTAGCTGTTCCATCTTTTTGCTCAAAATTTCACTTTTCTCTCCACAGAAAATGTGAATTTTAACTTCATTAATTCAGGAGAAAGTGAAGTGTTCCATTCTCTCTCATGTTCAGTTCTGCAAATGTTTCTTGAATAGCCTGCTGCAGTTATTGCATATTGCATTCGACCAATTTCATGGATTGCTGCTAATATGAGGTCAACAAAATGCTGGTGGACAAAATGTATTTGCTGGCCCAGCAGTGTCTATGAACTAGACAACAGCAACATTCACAATGTCGACTGCACTAGAATTCCAGCTCTACTGATCCTGAACATGTTATATGCAAGTTGTGCGTTACAAGATTTACATTTATAGGCATTGTCATAGCTTTTCATATCTGTGGGTGCATTTTCTTTTAAGAATTTTCAGGGGTAATAAGACAATATATTGGCACTTGCCAATGCGTCAATCTTAGCTAATAATAAAGTAACTGAACAATTTCTACAAACATTTCAAACGATAAAATGACCATCTTATTTGTTACAGAATAGTGAACACACATTTCATGCCATCTGATGTTTTGCACGAGACATCACCAGACACTGATTTTTCAATCACTTTAGGCCTCTGGCAGGAAACCAGATGGTCTTAATTGTAGCTGTGCTCTTATACTTCTACTTTTTGTGCATGTACGTTTGAGTCGATGCACAGTTTTTGAAGCTGCATCAGCCTTTACTCTCATGCACTGCCTCTGCCAAAGGCCTCTTCTGCCACATGCCTTGCAAAAGTGATTAAAAGCTGGGCTTGCTTAGCACATGCAAAATACCACACTTTCCACCTCTTGCTTTCAGAGAGTGTTCTAATGAAGTGTCAATGTTCAGGTTTGTACAAGTTTTTTGTTCTGCAAGTAACACTTCATGCTTATCTTGACCATTTCAGCAGCCTTTCAATAATATAAGTCTTTGGTTTGTCTCACAAATCTTTCTGGAAAACTTCCATGGGGTGGATGCAGTCACCAACTCAATGATTCTGTATGCTTGCTCCCCATCTGGAAAATCACAATGAGCCCTTTTCTATGCTTCTGTTCAAGACATAATGTATGAAGTCTGCGAATTGTCACGAATTTCAATTGATGACTAGGCATGTTTAATCTGACTCTGAATTGTCTTCTAACTTGGTACTTGTCTTTTGGGAACCTTTGACATGCTTATCCTAATGTGTCAAGTCTGTGTAGGCATTCGGTCCCAATTGACACGCTAATTTTAAAGGCTTACTTTCCTGCATCAAATACAGCAAAATCTAGAAAATCAACACTGCTTAAATAGTTTGAATTTTGTTAGTGGTCCACTGTGTCCCGATTTATACTAGAGAATTTTTTGAATATTCTGGCAATACGTTTTTGACTCTTCCTTGTTTGCTATTGATCTGGTACACACTGGCTGAGCTTTTCTAGCAATTCCGATTTATTTCCGATTTACAGCAACTGCAGTTCTTTTGGTTTTTATTCCGTATTTAACTCACTGTCACTTCCCTTCTAGGCACGGCCACATTGAAGAAATTCTGCTCGTCTCTCCGACAGGATTTCTGTTCTAATCATTTTTTTTGTCCACCGTCATTAACTTGAGTGTTGCTCCTGGCGTCTGACCTGGTATTTGCTAAAACTAGTTTCCAGAGCTACATCACATCGTTCGGAGGAAGGGTCACTTGACCTGAAACATTAACTCCGATTTCTCTCCTCAGATGCTGCCCTGACCTGCTGTGCTTTTCCAGCAACTTCTATTTTTATTACATCAAACCAACTGATTTGTGAGAGACACAGGAACTTGCAGACTAAGACCAGACTAATTGCCAGGCAGAGTTGCAACGCTGCATACGCACTGTAGTCTTTAAAGGTGAACTCTCTTAAAGGCAAAGTGTACATACAATAGATGCAAAGTAGAAGTAGTCAAGAATCTCAGACTATAGGTCTGGAACAGCTGGAAGTCTCAATATTGCAAGAACAAAGGGAGAAATTATGTCCAGAAAGTCACAGCTGAAGAGCAAGGAACATACATTGGCTCAATGATAAGTGCAATGAAAAGCACTTGGAGGTTTGTGAACAAATCTTTGCACTTTGAATGGATTGTATCATGAGGCTTGGAACCAATGGACAGATGAAGTATGTTTCAAATCCAAGAGGTACCTGGTCTGTTTTATTTAAAAACAGGAAGGCTGGAAATAATCACCAAAGAAGAACAGTGACAATTTGTGATCATATTCAAACCACGACATACTGTGTAATTTGTCCTACTGTGTATAAGAAATACAACTGGAAAAGAATTATTGCTTAAACCAAACCAGCATCTGCAGCCAATGATGGACACTTAAAATCAGGTACATTATGTATCGGCGTGAAATCTTTCGAAAGATAATGCAAGATAGCTCCTGCACTTCGATGGACATCCAGGAAAGAATACTGTCTTAACTACATAAATAAAGTGTGAAAACAATTGTCCCACATTCTAATTCCTTGAAAGATAAACATACTTTTCCAAAATTTACTTTCTATTTTTATTATTTTGTTCGCATTGCTCAGGCAAACATTTATTTCTGAAAATTGCTATTTCAACATGTCCCATGAAATTTCACTGCCAATTCTTATGCACTATATGGCTGCTCTGGTCCCCTTAGGCAAGCTTCTGGAAGCTCTATCTCAACTCAATTTTGAAATGCAAAGAGTCCTAACAGGTACAAGACATTCAGTAATAAAAGCAACTTAAAGAGGGAGTTACCTGTTCATTGTCCTGCACTCTCTCAGAAATAAGATATTAAGAATCATTCTCAAAACTATAAGCAGCTAAGAACAATTACATTATTTGAAATTTAAAACACAAGCTGCCAAATATAGACCGAGCATGGCAGATTAAACTCAAAAACATTAATAAAACTTAAAAAAACAATTAACTTCTTGGATCATTAAATAGATCATGCTGCTGAAACCTGGGTTATGCCTTTGTTAAGAGTATAACTATACACTTGACAAGGAGGACAGAGGGAGAAGAGCAAGCCAGTTCTTACTAAGACATGCCACAGAAAAGTTCTAGCACCTCATCATTCACAAGCTTTTGCTACTTTCTGTGCATGGCTAACTCAAGTATTCTTAAAAGCCAGAACTCAGTAAATACATTGCTACTATACACTTGAAATTCATTCCATATCACATCTGTCACTACCATATATTCTTAACTTCTCAAACTGACAATGTACTTGTTATACTTAATTATACAACCTTCATTAAAATTGATTTGCAGTTATCATAAATAAGGCAAAGAACTTCAGAAAGGGATTAACACAGATTTGTTCTGAAACAAATTACAGATCCAGTCACAGATTGTATTTTTATTTACACTTTAAATTTGTACCTTCAGTTTTCTCAGATCAAATCTGAAATGACTATAACAATGTCTGCTCTTACAAACTGCATGGAGTATGATTTTTGAGTGGAAAAATATATCAAGCATTGAATCGTACTTTACCGGACATTTACAAGAAATATAACAAAAGTTAAACAATTTTACCTTCAGGATCATATGTTTGGAATACTCTTCTTGCCTGTTCCCAAGGAGATTCTGGAGCAACTAAGGACATTTCCTAGAATGAAAGAAATAATGATCTGCAGTTATTTTTGGTATTTTTTTCTTTTAAAACACAGAAAAATGTAGACATGAATATGCATGAGTCTTGCACATAGGAACCCTAGCAGCAAAATAATATGTTTGTACATTGAAATGAAGGCTTTAATTCACACTTGCTGAATGGCAGATTGTAGGGCTCACCAGGGGTCTAATGTCTGGACTCCTGAAGTTTAGGTAAATATCAGTAAAATGTTTTTGCCCACTTAAAATTCAACAGGGGCCAAGTTGGTGACTGATGGAGGCATGGAAATGTTTCAGAAAGGGAGGACAACTCAACTCCCTAAAACAACACAACTTCCATTTCTGCAAATTAAATTTCTAAAACTGGTGTGCAAGGTTAAAAATAGTCGTCAGCAATTAAATGAAACATTACAAAATTAAATCCTACTCACGTCAGAACAACAAAAAAATCTCAACATCATCCACCAGTTTACTTTCTCATATACAACTACAAACCAAGGTTCATTATTATTTCTTGAAGTATAGAAATAAAATAAGAATCACACCAAAATAAAGAAATATTCTGTTTGGTTTCTATCACTGACGATAGCTATAAGTCATCGGAACACTATTTCTGCAATCTGGTTTAAGTCTTCTGGGTATCATTTCCAGTGTTCAGTGCCTTCAGACAACCTGGATTTGGCATTAAATAAATACATTTTAAGTGGTACTTCTCCAAGCTTCTGTCTTTTTCAGCAAAAGTATGTGCAGTTTCATTTACTGCCAAATAGATGTATTTGACAATTAATGGAACCATTTATGATTAAAATGTATGCTATGGCAAAAAAAAAATGTAACACACCTTGGAACAAAGCCCTTCTTTTTCCATAACTGTACATTAACTGCGATATTTAGAAACAAATTCCAAGAACACACTTTTTGTAAACAGTTAACAATGAAATCTAGCTGTACTTTGTGAAGTGCTGTATGCGTCTCTCATATTGACAATATGAATATGGTCCCACTGTTACAGTTCATCTTTTACTAGTTTAATTTTAATATGTTGTGATAGAGAATGCATTTAGATATACTGCCAAAGTGTTTATGTAAAAATGTTAGAAAAAGGTGCAGCATCAAAGACAGTATTTTTAAGCGGGATAGAACATGCCCAATAATGCTTAACATCAGTGACAGAAAAGATGGAACTCCCACAAAGTGAGTGGATGAACACACAAAAAAATAAGATTATAATGAACAACCAGCGTGACTTCCAAAGTGGAAATTCTTGCTTGACTAACCTCCTTTGACTTCTTAAAAATTCAAAGATCAAGTACAATGATAATGCAGGCTACATAAATCACTTGTATTTTCTGAAGACCTTTGATAAGATGTCCGATAATGAATACATTCATATAACATGGAGTAAGGGAATAAATGGATTGCAGTGTGGGAATAAAGGAATCATTATTAGGACCATTGCTGTTCACAATTTACACAAATGATTTTAACTGTAGAATCAAAAAAATTTCCAAACTCTATAAATGACATCAAAGTGGGGTGGTTTTTTTTAAAACGGGGGCGTGGGCAAGAGGGTGAAGTTATGCAAGACAGGATAGGGCAAGGCCTTGTAAAAGTGCTCCAAAGTCTTAGATGTAAGAAAGATCACTGCAATCCTGTAAATTGTTTCATAAATGACATGACAGGCATCTGTTTCAGATCCATCGAAATCTGGACTGGTGTGAAACAAGGGCTGAGAGATAACCGACTTGCTATTTACAATATACCTGTCTTTTGGCTATTCACCTCAAAAATAAATTGTCTTCAGTTGTCAGTATTAAATACTGTTTAGTTGGAAAACTCTAACCCTAATTGTCTCCTTGCCAAAACTAAAGACGTACTTGACCTATAGTTTGGGAATAGCTGCACTGCCACTGCCCACTCTGCACTGGATTTGCAAGCCATTCTCTACCTCTTCAATTCTGCATGCAAGAAACTTGACGTGTCCTCAAACATTGTCAAAACAAAATTCATATCAATCAGATCTGATAAACCAAATAGTAAACCTTATAAGTTTTGCATTCTCCATATCTTTTAAAATTTTGTCTTAGTTCATATTGTCTTTTATTCACTCTCCACAGAAAAATGTCTCACAGCATGGATGGGTTAAATTTAATCTCTCTTTCTTCTCCCCATTTCATGAATCTATCCACCTGAAGTATGTTACAACCTCTTCATTGCTTACTATACTTGAGTTTTGTGCCGTAGGGAAACTTTGAAATTACGCTGAGCATATTAAGTTATTAATACAAGAGCATTATACAGATCCCTGAGAAACACCACTGCATAATAACATAAGAATAGGAGTAAACCAGACTGCACCTTGAGCCCGAGATAACAAGGTGTAGAGCTGGATGAACACAGCAGGCTAAGCAGCATCATAGGAGCAGGACATTTCAGGCCTAGACCCTTCATAACTGCATTTCCTGTACACACCTCTCACCTTTAAATTTGTTCAGCGAGCACCCATAACCCTCTAGGGTCCAGAATTCCAATGCTTTATAAGCCCATGAGTGATAAAATTTCTCATCTCAGTAATATATAATTGATTGCTTATCTTGAGACTATTTCCTGTGCTCTAGATCCTCCGACCAATGGAAACAACCTGTCTTTTTCTGTCAAGCCCTTTAGAATCTTATACTTCAATGAGTTCATCTCTCAATCTCTTAACTTCCAGACAATATAGGAAAGTTAAGAAACCTTCTCATCATATGAAAGAATCGAATGAACCTTTGCTATGTTGCTTCCAAGGTATGCATATCCCTCCTTAGATATACCTCCCTCCAGTCCTGGAAAAAAACAACATTCATCACTAGGAGATAGGAAGAACCGCCAATGCTGGAGTCAGAGATAACACAGTGTGGAGCTGGATGAACACAGCAGGCCAGGCTGCATCAGAGGAGCAGGAAAGACGACGTTTCAGGTCAGGGCCCTTCTTCAGGTCCTGAGCCGAAACGTCAGCTTTCCTGCTCCTCTGATGCTGCATGGCCTAACATTCATCACTATGCTGCTTTCTGCCCTTTAGCCAATTTTATATCCACATGGAACCGCAGTAGTTCAAGGTGGCAGCTCACCTTCTTACTCTCAAGAACAACTAGGGATTGGCAATAAATGCTGGCCCAGTGTGACACCACATGAAATGAACGAATAAAATTAAAACCATCATGTTTCTTAGAGTCTATGCACTAGTCTAGTATGAGGGTTAATGAATGTCAGTTCTAATTCAATACTTGGAAAATGCGCTTGGCCAAAAATGATTTGAATTGAAAATTATTTACTCCTAAATAATTGGAATGACCTAAAACCAACTATAAAGTTTAATCAACTTTGAAAATAAATATCAAGTGTCAAAAATACATAAGATTAAAATGATTTGGAATTCACGTGGGGTGAAATAGTTTCACGTACAGATTACATAAAATGTGAGAAGGTATGGGAGATTGAAGTGAAATACACTACAACACCTTAAGTGACAATGTTATTTGCTTTCTGTTACAAGAAATAGAACTTTGGGAATACAATTTAATGAAAATTTGACACAGCATCACTATTCAATGTACATTTATGCAATAGAAGAGGAAAATAAATCTAGCTGTTTTCCAGCTCACTGATCATTAAGAAATTTTAGATTACATCTGTTGACAACACAACGATTCTCTATTCTCGAACCAAGTAAGTATCATAAGAGGAGGATAGATAGAAATGTTGCTTTTCTTGAAGGATATTCTGCAGAATTATACAATCCAAAATAAACTGGCATCTTTGTCCACCTTCATTGAATATGTTCGAACCAAGGACACTGAAACAGTCTGAACCTGCTGGCCAAGCTCAAATTAAGGACAGACATTGTGTTGGGGTTCTTAAAATAGAATTTTAATTAGGCTTGACAAACAGGTTTCAGGAATTTAAGTATGAACATGAAGTATCCAATTTTTAGTCCATACCAGTCAGTCAGTCATGGTTCAGTTGGTAGCGCTTAGTCACAAGGCTGTCGTCAAGTCACACTCCAGAACGGATGCTATAGTGCTGTACTTACGATTGCTATATTATCAAAAATGGTGCGTGTCAGATGAAACTTTAAACTAAGGTCCCATCTGTGTACTTGGGTGCAAAAGACCCCACAGCACTATTGAAAAGAGCACAGGAGATTCTCCCTACTGTCTTAGCCAATATTTATCCTTTAATCATCATTAAAAAAATAAAATCAGACTGCATGAGTATCATCACACTGATGTTTGAGATGGCTTGCTATGTGCAGATTGGCCACCACATTTCCTGCATTACACAGAGACCCTATTTCAAAAGTATTTCATTGACTGTTAACTACTGCAAGTACTTTTGTGAGATCCACAAATTGGTCACATTGATATGCATGTCTGAAGCTCCAGTGTGTACACCATTTTGCAAAGTTCTGTACCAAAGGCACTAAAAGTTCTACTGTTTTGTCTGTGTGGGTTTCCTCCGGGTGTTCCGGTTTCCTCCCACAGTCCAAAGATGTGCACGTTAGGTAAATTGGCCATGCTAAATTGCTCATAGTGTTCAGGGATGTGTAGAATAGGTGGGTTACAGGGGAATGGGTCTGGGTGGGATGCTCTGAGGTGTGGTGTGGACTTGTTGGGCCGAAGGGCCTGGCTCCACACTGTAGGGAATCTATGATTTAAGGCATCTCAAGACTCCAGACAATCAATTCAAATTATTACTGAATAATAGTTTACGCACAGCAAATACATGAACAGGAGCCTCGAGTCATATTCAGCTTCGTTTCTCCCCATTCACTAGAAAGAGAACTGTAGAATACCAGTTGGTTTATTAAAGAAAATTTGCAGAGACTAATGTAGGACTCACTTAAAGACCTAGTGATAGGCAATAAATATCAACTTGCTCGTGTTCTCCACATCCCTATAGATAAATAAAAAAACCTGGCAGTGACATAGCTATCATACATTCTGCCCCATACTT